AAAGGACTAATGGGATCTTGGCGGGAAAATCAGAAGATTCCTCGGAACGCAATCTTTGGTCATTAAAGCATTTAAAGTCCTCCGAATTGGGATAGCACTTCGAAGAACTTGGGGGGCTAATTGTTGGTGTCGGATCCCGCACCAGAAGTCCGAGACCAACCAAAGATTGCCACGTAGTCAAGATAAAGGCCCATAAAGGATAAAGCCCATTGGATCTGTGAGCCGAAGGAACGGTCGAAGTGGTTATCACCACTTCGAGAGTTCGAAGTGACTGCTCTTTGACATGAGATCGGTGTAGAAGACACGGGTAAGTCGGTTCAAGGATACTTGGGCCAAAAGGCGAAGCCCATGAAGATCAGAGTCAATTCAAATTCAAACGTTAAGGCATTAAAGCCGAAGATCAAAACGGACACATTTAAGAGAGAATAATTACACTTAATTAGCCACTTTAAATGTCGTTTCTCTATGTATAAATATAAAGGCCAATGGCCATGTAAGGGGGATCTTCCTCTCAAGAAAGAAATACTATAGCAATTTTCGTAGCAATTTAGAAGTTTTTACCTATTCATTTTTGTCCCTCAAGAATAATCTTTCCTACTTAATAAAATACTTGAGTGTGTGAATCCGACATCCACAATGACTTCGTTGAGGAGAGCCGTAGATGAGGCAGTAAGTGCAATGTCATCAACATATAAGAGTAAATATGCGATGTCCTTGCCTCGTGGTAAGACAAAGAGAGACGGATCCGAGAGACTTTGGATGAAACCAAACTTAGTAGCAAACGTAGAGAAGCGTGTGTACCAAGCCCTTGGAGCTTGCTTAAGGCCATAAAGGGAGCGTCGTAGGAGACAAACATGATCCGGTTTGTTGATGTCTTTAAATCCTGGCGGTTGATGCATGTAAACTGTTTCCTTTAGATCACCGTGGAGAAATGCGTTTTTAACGTCGAGTTGTCGGAGAGGCCAATTCTTAACTGTGGCTTCATGTAACACGGCACGTATCGTAGCTGGTTTGACCACTGGGCTAAACGTCTCGTCACAATCAATCCCGGGTTGTTGCGACTTGCCATTCGCAACGAGTCGGGCTTTGTACCTTGCTAGCTTTCCGGAAGAATCGAATTTGTGCCTGTATAACCACATAGAACGAATAATGTTAGCAGACTTGGGCCGTGGTACAAGTGACCACGTTCCCGTTTTAATAAGAGCCTTGTATTCATCACCCATAGCCGGATTCCAATTTGGATCCTTTGCCACATGTACATGGTTTGAGGGTAATGGGGAGACGGTAGTGGTATGAAGGCAAAGTCGAGTGACTGGTTTAATAATACCCGATTTGCTGCGTGTTTGCATAGGATGCGAGGCGGCTTGTGGGACAATTGGTGGTTCTGGTGGAGGTGCTTCGGGAACAGGTAGAACCGGAAGAGGAGGCAAGCGAGGAATGGGTGGTGGTGTTGCGATGACCTCTTCTGGTGGTGGTGGTGTCGGCACTTGAGCAAATGGGAAAATATTCTCATCAAACACCACATGTCGTGAGAAGATTATTTTCTTGGTAGACATATCGAGATAACGGAAGCCCCGGTGATCAGATGGGTAGCCAAGGAAGGTGCATGCCGTGGATCTTGGGGCTAATTTGTGGATGGAAGTTGGAAGTTGGTTTGGATAGCAAAGTGAGCCAAACACTCGGAGATCGTCATAACGTGGTGGCTTGTTGTAGAGACGTGTGAAGGGGACCTCGTTATTGATTGCAGCTGACGGCAAGATATTGAGGAGGTGAGCTGCCATGTGTAAAGCTTCTACCCAATACGACGGTGGCATGTGAGCTTGGAGGAGAAGTGTGCGAATCATGTTGTTGAGTGTTCGCAGCATACGTTCGGCCTTGCCATTTTGTTGAGAGGTGTATGGGCAGGAGAAGCGAAAACTGGTCCCGGTGGCCGCAAAGTGATCGCGGAAGTGGTGGTTATCGTATTCTCGGCCATTGTCACATTGGAGAAAGGAGATTCCGCGATGAAACTGGGACTGAACCATCGCCGAGAAGTGTAGATATCTGCTAAAAACATCACTCTTGCGTTTGATAGGATATACCCAAACAAAATGAGTATAATCATCAAGAAATATGAGATAGTATTTGATGCCACTAACACTTGGAACAGGAGAGGTCCATAAGTCAGAATGAATCAACTCAAAGGGTTGTGAAACAAATGTTGATGAACGAAAAAATGGAAGACGAACATGTTTTCCTAATTGACACGCATGACACAAAGTTGTCAAGTCGGTCTTAGCTGTGGAAATAACACCTGAAGAAGCAAGAGATTGTAAAACAGTATAGCCGGGATGACCAAGACGACGATGCCACACATTGGTCGTTGGCGCGTGGACGGAAAAGACATGCGCTGACGAGACTTGTGGCGTGATGGTGTATAGTGGACCATCACTATTGCACCGGAGCAGTTTCGTCTGAGTCTGAAGATCCTTAACACAAAACCCAAACGGATCAAATTCCACAGAGCATTTGTTATCAGTAACAAAACGTCGAACCGAGATAAGATTTTTAACAATCGATGGGCTCACAAGAACATTTTGTAAATGAAGTGGGCGTGGGGTTGTGGTTAGGGTGGTGGAGCCAGTATGTGTAACAGGGGCAAAAGATCCATTACCAACCATGATTGAAGGAACAAGACTTTTATTAAAAAGGGAACGTAGCGTACCTGGCTGAGTCGCAACGTGATTGGTGGCGCCGGTATCCATCACCCAAGAATTTCCAGATGGATCTTGCAAGGTCATGGAACTGAAGGCCTGTGGCAGAGTCGCAAGTGGTGGTATGTTGCTCATTGGATACGCAGACTGGGTAAAGTAAGCTTCGTGTTGTGGGCGAGACTGGTTGTAATTGCCTGGAGAACCACCAGGAGCACCGTATGGTGGAGAGATGGCCGGATGATATGATGGTGGAGCGAATGATGGTGGGGCTCCGTACGGTGGTTGATACATCCATGGATTTTGATTGTATCCCCATGGTGGAGAGTATCCAAATTGATGGTTCTGCCAATTGTTGCGTCCTCTACCGCGGTTGTGGCGACCTTTTCCTCTGTTTTTGTTGTTGTTGTAGCTACGGCCCGAGTTGTTGTTGTTGTTGGTGTAGTCCTGTGATTGGCGTTGCTGTGAATCGTGGTTGGTGAGCAGCACTGTTGGCGAAGAAGCGTTAGTGTTGTGTTGTGGAGAAGGCTTAACTTGCTTGTTGAGGCGCTGTTCTTCCATCAGTAGCATAGAGCGAGCCTTAGTGAACGACATGAAAGGGGTTTGATGCTGAATGACATTGATGATGCTGTCAAATTTGTCGGATAAGCCATTGAGCATGTGCATGACCAAGGCCCGATCTGTGACTGGCGAATCGAGATTGGCCAGCAAGTCAGATAGAGATTTCAATTTGTGGCTGTAGTCGGTGATACTCATATCGCCGATCTCAAGAGTACGTAGCTCGTTGTCATATTGAAGGGAGCGTGCCTCCTTGTTGTCGCGAAACAAACCTTCAAGCGTGATCCAGATGTCACGCGCCGTGGATTTAGCCTTGAGGATGGTGTCGAGAAGCTGCTCCGACACGGTTCCGTAAATCCACATTTTTACAAGCCCGTCGCGTTCTTTCCACTGCTTTGCATTTTCAGCGGATGGCGCAGAGGAGCTTTCGAGATGTTCCAAGACACCAAAACTGCTGCAATGGGTCTCGAAGAGCTCGCGCCAGACGTCGTAATTCAGCTTGGCCAGATCAAGACGTACGGGGATGTAACCTCGAATCTATGCGATTCCAAAGGGTTTATCGGCGGAGAGGGTGACAGCGGTGATAGAAGAGTATGTCGACATCGCCGATTACTTTAAAAAATAGAAAAAGAAAAAGGAAAAGAGAAAATATAAGAGCGACGAAGAAAGAAATAGAGCGGAGGAGGATCGGAGAGAAGCTTTTTAGCTTTGCTCTGATACCATGTAATTGTGTGAATCTCCGTGAGAGGAGAGATATGTATTGAGCGTGTATATATAACGTTACAAGAGATAGGATCAAATCTATCCTAGGATCTTAGATATATACAAATATAAGATTCCTATATATCTACGCTAACAGATCCACTAAAGCGAACTCAACAGCCCTCTAGCAACTCCAAATCCTACCTTCCTACTTGGTTCAGAATTTTTGATCATGCCAAAACAAAACAAAAAACTTCTCCACCGGGCCTCTTGCGCTTCTCATCTACAGTGGAAGACTCATTCATCAAAGTAGGACTTTGAGATAACATTGAGTTTAGAAAAATAGAAATTATTGTACCATTGGAATGACCTAACTTGAAGAAGGCAGCAGAATTGATCATGATATTACAACGAGACCAGAAACAGTTTCAGTAAACTTAGGGTACTTTAAGAACAATGAAGTAACTAATAAGAACAGCTTCGAATCCGTAATCTTTATGTGGATCTTTTTCATCATTCTTCCAGGGGAAAATTTGCATCCACAAACCTTTGGCTCTTATTGCTCTCACTCCGCAAAGATAGACAATAAATATAGCTCTTGAATGGTATTAAAAAGTAACTGACACTACAAGAAATACAGCATTTTCCTACGGTCAAAATCGTAGGAAATTGGTAGGAAATAGACGTTTCTTACCAATTTCCTACGAAATATATTTGAAGGGAATCGCCCGTAGGAAATATAATTTGGTAGGAAATTTGTGGGAATTTTCCTACGAAACCGGTTCGTAGGAAAGCGCGTAGGAAATTTCGTAGGAAATTGGTAAGGCTTTTTCACCATTTTCCTTCCAAATTTTCGTAGGAAATTTAAGTAGTCCTACAACTTTCCTACGAAATATTTCTCACTAATTACCTACCAAAATTATCTTACCAGTTTCTTACGATACACCTCCTACCAAATTTCTACCATTATCCTTCAAAATTTCAGAGACAATATTAATAAAATTATTTATATTTATTTGTTACAAATTTTGGTTTTTTGAATAAATTAAATTTAAAATTCAAAAAAGACTTATAATTAAATTAAAAATTAAACTCCATACAAATTAAAATTTATTGTACAGTCATTCTAATATAAAGATTCAAATCCTAATCGATCTACTCTTGAGTCTCGTCGTCATCGTCATCTATGCTCGTCTTCGTCGTCTTCGTCGTCTCATTTTGCCCTTTCGGATAATCCGGTGGTTGAATTTGTGCAAATTGTTGGAGGAGGAGCTTGTTCCATAAGATATTTGAGTTGACGATCCTTCTCAAGGTCACGGTCCTTGAGAGTTTGAATCTCTTCAAGTAACGATATGCAAAAGGCATGGAGATCTAAACATTGAAAAACCAGAGCAGGCAAAGAAAGAAATGTTACAAGAACAAAGAAAATTATAGCTACATTAATGTTAGACTGTAATACACAGTTAAGCTAGAAACACACCAAGTCTTTGTATTGTTAGACAACATCAATAAAAGATCTCAAAGTAATGAAGATAGCAAGATTATTAAAAAAAAAAAAAAAACAGTGCATCAGGAAGTGTTTGTACCTAATCTTAGCAGCTCCTTTACCTCCAGCTCCACCACTAGAACCTGCAGCCGCAGCTTCAGCAGCTTTATTAACTGCCTTCTCTTGCAATGCTTTTCCATCTCTGTATCATTCATTACACAACAACCACAAAGATCGAATGATTACACAACAACAACACAGATTGAATCATTACACAATAACAACACAGATTGAATCATTACACAATAACCACGCAGATCAGAGTAATCCAACTAAAGAATCGTTTATACCTTTCACGGCGTTGCTCCGGCTTCAAACCATTGTTACTATTCTTACCCTTATCACCAGCGGCTCTTTCACGGTCACGCTCTCTCTGACTTCCATGTGACGCATCAAAAATCAAAAGCTTGAATCAAAGAAAACAACAAACTTTGTTCTAGTTTCACAAATTCAGAATCTTCTAAGTAAGATTCGAGAAAGAGTCAACAAGATCTAGTCTTTATACAAACCTTAACAGTGAATCAAACAGAGCAATCTAGAAACGCCGGTGGACCATTTCTCCGGTTTCCTATTGGGTAGAATGATTTTAGTTGGTAAACGAGACTTGGGTGATTGATCTTGAGGAATCGGTGGTGTTGCTGAAATACTAGAAATGGTTTCTTGGTGTTGGAAACTTGATCCTGTTCTTCTTGTGGATTCTCAACAGTGGCGGTTGTTGTTGTTGTTGCCGGAGCGAGAACGATGTTCCTCTCCGATGGGATTTGTGCCGGAGCCGGTGTTACTACTTCCATCGCCATCTTTCTTCGATCGATCACTCTTCTTTTAGTCTCTTTGCGTAACTTTATCAAACCCAGAAGCTATTAACAGAGAAGGGCAATCAAAGTAAAGAAGAGACCGGCACCGGTGCTGGAGGAGCCATGGAGGAGACGGTCGCCGCCGTTGGTTGTTGTCGAAACCAAAATGATAATAACGATTTTTGTGTTAGGGATTTTGTTCTCTTCTTTTAATAATTTTTCTTCTAATAAAAATCTCTACGTGTTATAAACCACATGTTGGATGGACTCCATAACCGTGGACCTTATGCATATTCTAGAAGGCCCATGTCCATGTCCTAGAAGGCCCATGTCCATGTTCTTGAAGATTCTCCTTATGACGGCCTATATTGTACTTAGTGGGCTTTTGGGCTTTAGGGTTTACTAGCCCAATGGGGATTTGTCTCCCCTCATCATGTATATATATGTATCGAAATCTCATTCATTAATCAATAGAACAACACAGTTTACAACACGTTATCAGCACGACTTGCTCTTAACGAAAACCCTAAAACCCTAACCCTAAAAATCGCGGCACTGTTCATCGCCGACACTGTTCATCTCGGTACTGTTCATCGCCGTACTGTTCATCGCCGTACTGTTCATCGCGGGTACTGTTCATCGTGGCACTGTTCATCGTGGTACTGTTTGCGGTTCGTTGCAGCAGCGTGAGTTACCGAGGTCTTTAGCTCCCGGTTCTAGTCCATACAACCCCATAAGGTGAAAGGTAACATCAAAACCCTAAAGCTAAAGAACCAACAATTGAACTTGAAAGTTAAGCAAAGAGAAACCCTAAAACGAATGATGATTGATTAAGTGATTGCTTTGCTTGTATGATTTGATTGCTTGTTTGATCCGATTGCTTGTTTGCTCGATTGTTTGACTCGTTTAGATTGCTAGAAAAAGTTGATTATCGCTTAAGCTAAACTCGCCTAAGTTGCTAGAGAAGTTTTAATTGTCTAAACCTAAAATCGCAAAACGAAAATACATAAGCTAATAACCGAAACTTTAAAGGTCTAAAAACCTAAAACCTAAAACGAATCTAATCCAAAAAATTCCATAAGTTTAAATCGGCTTGATTGAGATTGTTTAGGTTGTTAGATTGTTTGCTCCTTTGATTGATTACATGCTTAACACCCTAAAACTAAAATTGCATGAACCCTAGAAAACTTAGAAAAGATAATCCTAAAAGAAATCTCAAAACCCTAAAACCTAAAATCCTAAATAAAATAGGAAACCCTAAAATCTAGGAAACCTTAAAATCCTAAATAAAATAGGAAACCCTAGATAATAGGAAATCTTAACAACCCTAAATCCTAAATAGGGAATCTTAAAATCCTCAATAAAATAGGAAACTTTAAAATTCTAATAGAAAGCATGAAAACCTAAATAAAATCCTAAATCCTATTGTACTCTAAATCCTAATTAAATTAGGAAATTCATAAATCCTATTCAAGATAGGAAAACTTTAAGAAATAGAAAATTTCCAAAAACTTTAAGAAATAGAAAATTTCCAAATCCTAATTAAAATAGGAAATCTTAAAATCTAAAATCATAAGTGAAATAGGAAAATTAATCCTAAAGTAAAGAGGAAAGTAAATCCTAAAAAGGAAAAGGAAAAGTTAATCCTAATAAAAAGAGGAAATCTAATCCTAAGCAAAAGAGGAAAGTCAAATCCCTAAGTAAATCGATTCATGGTTCGGTCTCAAATACCGCATGACACTAACGATTACATGATTTTGACTCAAAACTTTTCCTTGTAGATGTTGAATTACAACTTGTACTTTACTGCCCTAAATTTCTTAGGAGATAATTATTTTAAAATGGGCAATGGATACTAAGATTATCCTAAAGTCAAAAGGACTTGGTGAATGTATCTAATAAGGCAAGAATGCCAAGAGAGAAAGATAGATACAAGACAATATTAGCCACCATCTTATTGAGAGTCTCATAATCCAGGACTATAAGTCCGTGGATGAGTCTATTGCTAGATGAAAAAAAAAAATAAAAATAATGACTTACAGATAAAAACAGTGAGTTACGACCTCATAGATTAACCCCATTACCTAATGCCAATAAGGCCGCAGAGGATAAGAAAGAATCCAAAGAATCTAACCACGTCTAAAGTGATAGACCACACGGCCGTGACCGTGGTGGATGGAAAGGACGTGGTTGTGGCCACTATAACTCATCCGGCCGTGGGAACCACTATAACCGTGGATGTAAACCCAATTCCGGCCGTGGTCGAGGGCGAGGACGATGTGGTATTTCCAAACCACAACACTCGACCAAATGAGTATGCCATAGATGTGGTATTGAAAGGACGTGGTTGTGGCCACTATAACTCATCCGGCCATGGGAACCACTATAACCGTGGATGTAGACCCAATTCCGGCCGTGGTCGAGGGCGAGGACGATGTGGTATTTCCAAACCACAACACTCGACCAAATGAGTATACCATAGATATGGAATGGGAAACCATTGGGCTAAGATATGTAGGACTTCCAAACATCGTTGTGACCTCTATCAAGAGAGTGTAAAAGGGAAGAATCCTAAAGCCCATTTGGTATATAAAGATGGTGAACATGATCAAGATGATCTAATAGAGTATGAAACTTCTGATTGCATAAAAGAATCAAGTTGATAAATCTTACTTCGACATCAAAACCTCTATGTTTTTCTTTGCATTTTATGTGTTCATTGATTGTTATTTGCTTGAATTTATTTTATATTATTTTATGTTTAGAACATGATTCTTGTCCATATAAGAAATGGCCGAGGACAAGAACATAATTGTGGTGGATAGTGGAGCCACACAAAAGATAAGAGATATTTTCCTAAATCTCATAATGAAAAATATTAGCACCATAGCGGGTATAGCTAGTCTTATTGAGGGCCATGGTCATGCCCATATACTTTTATCAAAGGGCACGCATCTTGAAATAAGCGATGCCCTATATTCACCCAGCTCGAAGAGGAGCTTGTCAAGTTTCAAAAATATAAGATTGAATGGTTTCCATATTGAAACAAAGGGTGAAGGGAACAAAGAATTCCTAAATATAATTGAGATCACCCAAAGACATAAGAAAGTCCTAAGAGACTATACCCGCATTATCCACTGGTCTCTACTATGCTAAAATCGATATGATCGAAGCTAATATGGCAATGAACAAAGAGTTCATCGAGAAATTCACTTTATGGCATGACCGGCTTGGCCATCCGGGTCATAGTATGATGCGTAAACTAATAACTAATTCAAAGGGGCACACCCTAAGAGAGAAAAGAGTTATCCCTAAGAATCTCACGTGTGAAGCATGTTCACAAGGGAAACTCATTATAAGGCCATCACCGGCTAAGGTAAATAAAGAGACCTTAAAATTTCTGGAAAGGATACAAGGAGATATATGTATGGTCCTCATTGATGCATCGACAAGATGGCCGCATGTTTGTCTCCTATCTACTAGAAACCAAGTGTTTGCTAGGTTATTGGCCCAGATAATAAGACTGCGAGCCCACTTTCCAGATTTTCCGCTTAAGACTATACGTCTAGACAATGCCGGTGAATTCACGTCCCAAGCGTTTAATGACTACTGTATGTCCATGGGGGTAAGTGTGGAACATCCCGTAGCACATGTACATACACATAATGGATTAGCGGAATCCTTCATTAAACGAATTCAATTGATAGCTCGACCATTACTCATGAGGTCGAAGCTCCCAGTAGCCGCTTGGGGACACGCTGTTTTACATGCATCAGAACTTATACGCATAAGGCCATCTAGTGAACATAGATATTCACCATCCCAATTACTTATGGGTCATGAGCCAGACATATCCCATCTAAAGACTTTCGGGTGTGCCATATATGTACCGATTGCTCCACCACATAGAAACAAAGATGGGACCTCAAAGGAGGATGGGAATATATGTTGGATTTGATTCTCCCACCATTATTAAGTATCTAGAGCCAACTACGGGTGATCTATTTAAGGCTAGATACGCGGATTGTCATTTGAATGAATCCGAATTTCCTACTATAGGTGGAGAGACGAACAAGCTGGGTAAAGCAATAAAAGAAATATAATGAAATCAAACATCCTTAAATTGGCAAGATCCTCGGACTCTGGCATGAGAATCAGAGGTCCATAAGATTATACATTTGAAAAGCTAGCTAATCAATTGCCAGATTCCTTTGCTGACCCAAAGAAAGTTACAAAAACGTACATACCAGCTTGTAATGCACCAGTACGTATTGATATCCAAAAGCGAATCAATGAAATTGCTACCGAGTCTAACACACGAAAGAAACGTGGTAGACCAATAGGTTCCAAAGATAAAAATCCTCGAAAATCAAAGAAAGGTGCAATAGGAATCCGAGGTTACTAAGGAAACCATCCCAGACATGGAGATAAGGCCGGCCGGCTCTAAGGTACAGGTACCATATAATGTAGCTTGGGACGCCAAGCTGCAAAGTATTAAAGGTCCTGACCATAATAAATCTCAAATCGATTATATCATGTCTGGAACATAATGGAACATATAAGAAATGTCGACATAAGATGATTTTGCATGCAAGGTAGCACTTGAATTTATGAATATAAATGAGGATCAGGAGCCCACGTCTATACTAGAGTGCACTCAAAGACTTGATTGATTAAATGGTACAAGACCATAAAACGTGGAGCTAAGAATCATTAAGAAAAGGAATGAGTTTGGTCCGACCTTAAGGACACCATTCGATGTAAAAACCAGTAGGACACAAATGGGTCTTTGTGAAGAAGAGAAATGAGAATAATGAAATCGTGAGATATAAGGCACGGCTTGTTGCACAAGGATTCTCACAAAGACCGGGGATAGATTATGAAGAAACATACTCCCCTGTGGTGGATGCTAAGACATTTAAATTTTGCTAAGTCTGGCTATATAAAGAAAAAGACTTGATTTGCGGCTAATGGATGTAATGCCTGCATATTTATATAAGTCCACTGGATGATATATATGAGATTACCAGAGGGTATTGAGCTCAAAGATAAAGATAAGAAAGGGTCTCGAGACCAATACTGCATAAGGCTGAACAAATCGCTTTATGGACTGAAACAAAGTGGACGCATGTGGTACAATAGATTAAGCGAGTACCTAGTCAGAGAAGGTTATAAGAATGATCCCATCAGTCCATGTATCTTCATAAAGAAATTTGCAA